CTTAGGCAACGAACGAGGGATTTCAGATAGAAAGAATTGTGCATGTAAGTATATCAATAAATGAGTGAATTGACTAAGTTATTGTGCAGAAATAAGTTAGAAATAATAGAAAGTTTATTTAAAAAGCTAAAGCAATGAAATATGCTGTGAACTCAATTAAAACAAATGACTCAGGAAACGAACGAATGTACTGTCCTCGAATCAACAAATAACTTGAAAATTTCGTAGTTCACTCAAGGTTGATGTCATATTGATTATATAGCGGGACTTACAACAAAAAGGCCATCTTATACGGCTGCCGTCTAGCCATCTTTGCTGATTTATACATTTAAACACTTTATTTCACTTACGCTCGGCCATTACTCACACTCCGAGGTGTGCATATATACGAAGACTTAACTCTTGATTGGCTGTGAAACTCTCGAACGGCAATTCACACGTCTATCCGATAGGTATACGTCTACATCGGTGTGTTCGGGAGAGTATCTTTGGGAACACGCCCCCCGAGAGCAGCGCAAAGTGAGATACAAAGCTGAATAATCGCACGACACACGCACAATTAGCCGCGCAAACAGTAGCTGCTAAGCAGAAATAATACCCCCAGCGAATTCCAAGTGGATCCAAGGCAGGGGGATCAAAATGGGAGACTGGAGATCGTGAGCAGAAACATCGACTCGCGTGCTCAATATGCTTTTAAAATGCATTTATGCACGGTGATGGGGAATGGTGCGCCGAGATACAAGTACCCACTGCTGTAGATGCTTGTTGCAGATACTTTCGCAATGAGTTTTATTTGTGTCGCCGATAGAGCTCTACCGATCAAAGAAAAGCCCCTGGCATGAAGGGATAAAGATAAGGTAAACGAAATTCAGCACAGCGTCTTAGATCGCCCAAAAACCATAGACCACCCAATTTATGTAATACAATACCTGCTCCAATAATAATCATAACATTTGACTCGATTTACGACGGCAGAACTGGGAGCATTCAATAAAATGAAAAAAATAAATAAATCTATGGCACAGGGAGAAAATGAAATCAGTTTACAATCCGATACAGGCTCAGCGGGCGAACATTTACAAACAATGAAATTCAATGCAATAATTCAAGATTCAATTGAATTTTAAGTACGCCCAGCGCCGAGCTTCCTTTTGTATCCGTAACTAGAAACTGACGATAAGCTGAGGCCAACCGACTGTCAGTCAGTCAGTCAGTCATTCAGTCAGTCAAGCAGTCAGTCAGTCCCACCGACGGCAATCCATCTCATCCCCGATCGTCGGTCTGTGTGTCTTTTCGCCTGTGTGTCGCGCACGCGCATACACCTCTCTCTGAGCCAGTTAGCTCTGTAAGAGGGAATTGGCCCCAAAACCGAGTCAGTTATTGGTATCTGCTAAGCTGTGATAGTGGGCTACACATTTGCGGGCTGAGTCCTAAGAACTGTCCTAAGAAGTGCTGAAATTGCTGAAGACGAAAGCCCTGCAGTTTGCAGATTTTGAAATAAAACATTAATGATTAGGCCGTATTTTAAATTATTTTAATTTCGTTTTTTTATTTTTAATTTCGTTATATGCGCCGAGAATGAAAATATCATATTAATAACTTTTTGATTTATTTATTTAATCTATTAATTCTATTATCATTTATTCTATTTATTCTATTTCACTTAACACACTTTCATATCATTTCTATCTTATTTAAATAAATAAGTTGAACTTTCTCAATTCCATGATGATAATAGCTAAATCGAAAAAAATGTTGTTTAAGTTGTCTACTAAGGGGTATACACGTATCTAATGTTATGGAAATAAATGTATTTATTATTAGGTCTTTAATTTGTTGCTAATTTGTTTTAAGATGCCAAATGGAGATGCTCTGCAAGATCCGTTTGACAGCATAAAGCCCGCTCTTTACCTTGACGCTGCAAGATCGCAGAAAGATCACCAACAACACTGTAGAAGAAGAAGAGTTCAGAGTCGTCAATAAAAATTAATTGCTATTTTATTGCCACAGAAGCAGCTCCTGCATACAAAGTACTCGATGTGCTTTACACTCGAATGCTCTTCAGTCTTGGGAGATACCAAACAATTGAATGGCTTTTGGTAGCTCAAATAAATAAAAAAATTAAGGCTTTCAAGCGTTTCTGGGGGTGCGGACATGGAAGCAACATTCTGGATCTAAAATTAACATAAAATTGCTTCCAATGTTGCGAACAGCCAACTAATCCATAACTAATACCATAACTAATCGGGAAATTATATGGAAAATAAGGAGAAGGCAATCAAAAAAGTGCATAATACAGAATTAATTTAATACATTTCCCCTATCTTCCCCTATTAAAATAAAAGTAAACTAGATAATTTATTTCTCAGTGAAAATAATAATCGAATATGTATTTGACAACGATTAGACAATTAAAACTATTTTTACTTTATCTTGCATAATAAAATAGTTGCGGAATAAAGGATAGTCTTAACACTGTTAAGGAAACCTTTGCTCATAATCTTATTTTTAATATGTAAAGATCTTATTTATGAAACTAAACCCGAAAAACTGGTCTATACCGAATTAGAAAACTTTTTGAATAAAACAACTAATTTATTATTCCTAGAAAATAAAATGTATTACAATATTTACTAAAGTTAAAATAAAAAATAACATTAGATAAGTTGTATGGAAACTAAGAGACTAGTTTCCGTAGAAATGGCTGTTGATACTGATCAAGAATATATTTACTTCGCGAACGCGTCCATATCAGACTAAAATCAATATATCTTCTGAAAGGGTATACAAGAAAAGAACGCTATAGTTGATTACCTCCAAGTGTACCCTACTTAAGATAAATAACACTAAAATAATTAAAATACCATAATAGTATGTAAATGTAAAACTATTTTAAAAATTATGGTCATAAAAAATCATATTTTTTTATTACTAAAAATAAAGGTAGTTATATCAATGTAAGAACATCTGCCTTTATTTTCATTGACTTTTGAATTTAATTTTTATCTAGCTTAAATATATGTTATACCCATTACTTGTAAGTTTAATGGGTATATTTTATGTCTTGAAATATTTTAAATTTATAACATAATGCTTTAATATTGTAGTCATTTATATTTGAAAAATGACTTTAAATTAAATAAGCTTGATACAAAAGTTATTTTCGATTTATATTTAAATAATTATTTTAGAATTGAAAATTATACCCGAAATGTAGTACAAGGATTACTTTTAATTTTTTAAGGCCATCTATTTCCTCAGTTTTTTCTGGTTTGTAATGAAATCCAAGACGAGGTCGTGTTTGTTGTACGTGTTGTACGAATCACCCTAATATTTTTCAAAATCTGCTGGTATTTTTTTTTCGCCCTGCAATTGGTAACACCATGCCTGGTGTCTGAGTTTTGACTTCGCCATAAATTTGCCGGCAGCTGTGCAAAATGTATCCTGTGAGCTCTCAGAAGAGGTCATGGACGTTCGCCAACGAGGGCCAGCTCATGGACTTCCGCGTAGAGCAGAACAGCAAGTACATCGAGTCGCACGAGGAGGAGGCGCAGGGTCTCGACCTTAAAGAGCACTTCCTTACGCCCGCGGAGGAGCGCCTGTTGCTGAAGCAGTACGAGATCTACCTCTTCGACTTCTGCCGCCGCTTCGATCCGCCGATGCCCAAGTGCGTGGTGGGCACGGCCTTCCACTACTTCAAGCGGTTCTATCTGAACAACACCCCCATGGACTATCATCCCAAGGAGATTCTGTAAGAAAGAGATTCTGTAGGCAAACAGTCGGTTTATGCCTCTTAAAATCATCAGTATACATCTATGAAACCGCTTACAACATTACCGGAAAACAGAAACATTTAAAAAATGTACCTATATACGTTTTCAGAGCCACATGCGTGTTTGTTGCCTGCAAAGTGGAGGAATTCAACGTGTCCATCAACCAGTTCGTCAACAACATCAAGGGCGACAGGAATAAGGCCACAGACATAGTGTTATCCAATGAATTACTGCTGATTGGACAGCTCAACTACTACCTCACCATACACAATCCGTTCAGACCCATCGAGGGGCTTCTAATAGATATAAAAGTGTGATATATATTTACATTTATATTTCAGATCGTTAACATTTCGTTTTGTTTTAGACTCGCAGCAATATGCAACATCCTGAGCGTCTGCGGCCACATATTGATAGTTTTATCGATTCCACATTCTACTCGGATGCCTGTCTTTTGCATACGCCCTCGCAAATCGCATTAGCTGCCGTCCTCCACGCTGCCAGCAGAGAACAAGAGAATCTTGATAGCTATGTGACGGATCTTCTTTTTGTCTCCGCCAGGGAGAAGCTACCCGGCCTCATAGATGCCGTGAGAAGTAAGTTTGTCCTGTGAAATAGCGCACCCTGCTCTACATCTCCTTTCCTTCACAGAAATTCGAATAATGGTGAAGCAATATCAGCAGCCCGATCGGGATAAAGTTAAGGCCATTGAGAAGAAGTTGGATAAGTGCCGCAATCAAGCAAATAATCCTGACAGCGAACTGTAAGATGGCCTAATTAGTTCATGCATTCTGTATTTAATAGCGTTTTTATTTTAAAAGCTATAAGGAGCGCCTACGCCGATTGTACACCGACGAGGATGACATGCCTGCCGAAGATGCCTCATTCCACATTGCAGACGTGAGCTCGGATACATCTGCTATGAACATAAGCCAATAGCCTACACAATATTTATTTGAATGATAGAAAGATGTACTTCTAAGTGGATTTCATCGATATTAAAGCATTTTGTAATTTACCATTGTTTGATTGTTAAAATTTATGTATTTGGTTATTTATGCATAGTTTAAAAAACAAAGTTAGTGTCACAACACCAGTTTGGAGTAAATAATTATTTAGCCTAATTATCGCGGCGGTGTATAAGTCTATTAAAATTTAAAAAAGTATTTAACTTAAACAATTTAAGCAAGGCTTTCCCAAACCCCTTTTTTAAAAATCCGCTAAACGCTGATTGGGAATTTTTCGTTCGTGGTCAACGGCCACACTGCGCAAAAAGAAAAACAAGATTAGTGGATCCAGTCACAACAAATAACAAAAAGAATTCGAAATGCACGATTTTTTGCCGTCCCTGGATGTTCTCTTCCTTGGACTACCGGGTCACTACTCGGTAGCTCTGATCACGCTTCTCTTGTGCGTTTTGATTGCTTTCTACTTCGCCAATATATTCAAGGACAAGGGCGTGGGTGTTTTTGCCGGAAGAAGTGGACATGTCCTGGAATGTTTCGGTATTTTATCTTTTGCAGGAACTGGAGGACGAAGGTTTGGGGGACGACGAGCCACGCGATGAAAATGATTCCGAGTCGAAGGAGACTCCACAAGGAGAGGAAACTGACGACGACGAGGCCTACGAAGAGAACTCCACCGACAGCGAAGTGGAGCCTATCGCGGAACAGCTGCCCGGGCACAACTACAACCACCTGATGGGCCAACTCAAAGCCAAGAGGCTCCAGCACAAGATGGAGAAGACTCTGACTCCCAGCCAAATCGAGGAGGAGCGACGAATAGAGCGGGAGCAGCTGGCGGCTATCTTTGAGCTCCTGCGCAAACAAGAGGTGGAATTAAATCTCCAGGACCGCATTAGCGACCAGGATCTCAAGCAGCAGGTGCGGCTCTATCGCTGAAGTGGTGGCAAGCGTACCTGACTTTTAAGAATTGTGTGATCTATAAGTTAAATGTTTAAAATCCCAGGCTTTGCTGTTGCCCACTTAGTACGGGTAAAGTCTTTAGTCAAAAGCTATCACAATTGCATGTAAATTATATGTATTAAAAAATGACTCTGTGTATTCTGTGAGTGAGTTCCTGGTATAATTCATATCTGATTTATCAAAGTTTTGTAGTAAGTGCCAGTTCGGATCTTAAAGTATGTTGAAATCAGTTTTCGAATTAAGAATATATATTTTTACATGTTAAATGTTAGATTTGCTAAAAGTCAAGATTAGAAAACATTTTACATAATATAAACATGGCATGATCTTAGCATTAAACATAATTAGTTGCCAAATTCGTTGGTTAGATAAAAATTGTATTTATAAAGCTTTAGTGTAATTACTGGATTTATTTGTTTAATAAAGAATGTAAAGCTGTGTTAATATGTAATATAAATACTTAAATTTAAATCAATTGGGGCCAGAACCATTTTCTGCTCATTTCTTAACCGACGGTAATATTTTTTATCTGTTTGCTGATATTTTGTAAAACTATTGACTGCGACTTGTTTTTTGTCTTTTTTGAAAATAATTGTATCAACAAATAGTTTCCATCAACACACCTTCGATTGGATCAGTCGAAATGCCTAGCGCTTCAGTTCCAAAATCGTTAGTACTAAAATGTTTTTAAATTCACGTGGAGCAGAAAATTTGTTGGAGTTCTAAATACGTTCGGTTTGGTTTGGTTGATGTTTAAACGTGTCGTTGTGGCGCCAATACCCATGCATGTTTACTATCGCTTATCGATACACCGCGTACACGGCAACCGTGTGTGACCAAATCAAGCACACAATCGTTGACCAACACTGACTGCACAGCAGCAACAACAAAAACACAAGCAACAACACCGACGTGCGTGTTCCTGTGTGTGTGTGCGTGTGAGATTGGAAGACAATGGCTGCAGCTGCGGATCTGGTTGTTCCTACCCTTGCCAGTGAGTATAATCCGGATGCAATCCCCACCAGGTGGTCCCTGAGGTGCCGTCGCCGTCTTGGAACATCGAATGCGGCCACTTTTTTCGCCCGGGTAGCGGAAAAATGTGAAAAACCGGGCGACCTCGTGTTTCCATCTGCTAATCGGGGCCACCTCTCGATTCTTCTCCACAGTTCGTTCTAGCGTGGCCGTGGAAGTGTGGTCCTCGGCGGGCTCCAAGCAGCCCTTCGAGCACAAGCCCCACCTGCCACGCGAGGAGACGAAGAGCTCACGCTCGATCTGCTTCAGCCCCGACGGCCGGTACTTCGCCTACTCCAACGGTCAGGAAGTCAAGGTGCTCCAGGCCAGCCGGGACAGCGCAGCCAGCTGGCCGGCCAAGTGCGTCCTGCCCAGGCCGAAGGCCTTCTACCTCCAATTCTCGCCACGTGGCAGCTACCTGTGCACCTGGGAGCACTATGCCATCACTAAGGACCGGCCGGAAGGGTCGCCCAATCTGCTCGTCTACGATGTGGCCACCGGCGTCGAAGTGTTCGCCATCGTCCAGAAGAACCAAACAGACTGGCAGCCCTCCTGGTCGGCGGATGAGTCCATATTCGCTCTGGTAGTCGGCGGCGAGGCACTCTTTTATGACCTCGGCGAGGGTGCCGATAAGGGATTCGCCTCCACATCGCGCAAGATAGGAGGCAGTCGGGGCGGTATGCTGTCGCTGGGCCCCGGTAACTGTCCCCCGTTCCTTGCCTTTTACACGCCGGGTGCCAAGGGCGCTCCGTCCATGTGCAAGCTCTACAAGTACCCGGCGCTTGGCCAAAACCAGACCGTAGCCTGCAAGAGCTTCTTCCAGGCGGATCGCGTCGAAATGTTGTGGAACAAGCGGGGCAGCGGACTGCTCCTCCTAACCAGCACGGAAGTGGATAAGAGCGGTGCCTCTTACTACGGCAACCAGGCGGTGCACTTCATGGCCACCAAGGGCGACACCTGCTCAGTGCCCCTCTCTAAGGAGGGACCGGTGCACTGTGTCAAGTGGAGTCCCAAGGCAACCGAGTTTGTAGTCGTATATGGCTACATGCCCTCCAAGGCGGCTCTCTACAACCTTAAGTGCGATGTGGTCTTTGACTTTGGTGAGGGACCACGGAACTGTGCCTACTTCAATCCGTTTGGCAACCTCATAGTTCTCGCCGGCTTCGGCAATCTGCCTGGAGCCGTCGAGGTGTGGGATGTGACCAAACGCGAGAAGCTGGCTAACCTCAAGTGTGCCGACACCACGGTCTTTGAGTGGCATCCCAATGGCGAGTGGTTCGTCACGGCCACCACCGCACCTAGACTCCGCATTAGCAATGGGTAAGTGGATCCACCCAAATGAGTATACTAATATAAACGTAACTATCTCACAGGTTCAAGGTGTACCACTACTCCGGGGCTCTGCTCCACGAGACTATGTGGCCCAACGGTCAGGAATTGCTGGGAATTGAGTGGCAGCAGTTTGCGGATAAGACGTTCAGCGAGCCCAAGATTACCAAGGCCAAGCACGAGGGCATCAAGTCCAGCCAGCCAGAGGCCAGCAAGAAGGCTTACACACCGCCCCATCTGCGCTTGTTGAAGGAGGGCAAGAATCCGGAAAAGTATCTGCCCCAGCCGAGTATTCCCGGACTGGCCCCGGCGGCAGCAGCAGGTAATGCGACGCGGAAGTTTTGGCACAGGCAGTACGACCTGGATAATCCCATTATGCGGCGAGGCGAGCAGGTCCAGTGCCAGCTGGTGGCGGCGAACGGCGCGGAAAGACCACCGTCTACCGGGTCCTCGACCAGCCGCCACAATCGGCGCTATCGACCCTACCAGCACAAACGCTACTAGGCTCAAAACTCACGCAGCTTGTCAGCTCCTCTCACCCCTTCCACACACATTTTGTATTAGCATGCCATTAGGATTAGGGATTGCGCGGCCGTAAGTAGGTTCGGCTGTGTGTTTGCTAATTGCTGTTTGCATTTCTATTCGGCCTGCAGGTGGTGCCAATGGTAACAAGAGGAACAACAAGAACAAGCAGCGAAGCGCTAAGAAGGATGTTAACGTTGTAAATGGCGGCGATGCGGATTCTGTCCCGACTGAGGTGACCGAGCACGGTGCTCCGGTTGCTCGTCAGTCACCCGTTTTCGTGGCTGCAGAGGAGCGGAGGCAGCAGCCCACTCCCAGACAGAAATACCAGCCGGATAACGCTGCCGATTCGCCACCGATTCCTCATGGACAGGGACAGCCCAACGGCCAAAACATCAGCGATAAGGAGCGAAAAATTCGCAGCGTCGCCAAGAAGCTGTCGGACATTAAGAAGCTGAAGGTCCGACGCAGCCAGGGCGAGAACCTAGAGCTGAACCAACTGAATAAGATTAAGATGGAAGCACAGTACCTGGATGAGCTCAAGGCTCTTAAGCAGTCTGCCTAGGAGGACGTTGATGGCGCTGACAATGACGACGGCGGCGAGAATTCTGAGAGATGCGAGGAGTAATTGCTCTTGTGATTGTGATACACTACCTCTTCTCAGCTCCACTCCATTTTCACCTGCTGTCCGTCCCCTTCCTGCTGTTTTACGCTCAATTTGTGGCCCATTTGCCGCAACAAGTTTCAAGTTAAAACATTTTTCTACTATTGTGATTTCCTAATTATTTTCGGCAAAACGTACAGTAACTCCCGTAAACAACAAATTTATGTACCAAATTGTGCTACCAAGTAATAAAGATGTTTCCACCAAAATCCACGGATTACTGCTCCCAATTCGACTTCTTCTTGATGAACTTTTCTTGTCCGTTCTCCTGGACGGCCACATAGTATCCCAGACTCTCGTACTTGTACCTCATATACGCGATGTAACCGAAGACCCCGGCAAACGCGGTCAGTCCCAGGCCCATGATAATCTTGTTCTGAAAACGATTATTATATACAATTCTAGAATTCGTTTAAATCCAATCGAACTTCAAATAAAACCGCACCGGCTTCGTGTACAACTCGAAGTTGATCAGCCGGAAGACTCCGGTGCTTCGCATAGATCGGATGCCATCGCCAGGGCCCTGTTGCTTTCCCTCGCTCATCCTGGTCGCGTTCTCCTCTTAACTGCTTTTGAATTTATTGCACAATAATATTGCATATATAAACATGTGAAAGGACTGAAGCGTTCTAACAGTGTGACCCTCGAACTGCAAAATACCTTCTATGTGAGACACATGAAGATTACCCCTGATGTGCGACTTTGGTTCCCTTTTAAGCGCAGAAAAAATATTTCAACGTCCAAAATCTTTACTCTGTTATCTAAGCTACTTACAATCCATTTACAAAAATGAAGGGAGCTTCGAAGGCTACCAATCCAGTTAAAATGCAAGCTGTTTTTATTTATAATAAATAATAAACAGCAAAAATCAGTTTACCTCCATACATTTTGAAACATCCATCTATGAAAATACTATTTACCTAAAAAGTAATACAACAAAAAGTAGGAACATTTAGAAGACCCACCTGTTGAATATTTTGTAACAGCTGACTGTTGGTTATTCGCAGTGAAGTGATTTCATTTCGGAAAACTGTTTTAAATGTTTATGGGATTAACAAAATGCCTTTAAGTCATGCGCTATATTTTAATTCACTGGAAGACTCCGATGAAGATGAGGACTTCATTAAGTCGAGGCATTCCTCGAAAGCCCAGGCTATACCAAACCAAACCCAACTTCCTAGAGGATATAAAAGATGATGAGTTTATAGCTTTATTTCGAGTTTCAAAAGCCACTTGTTCAAGGCTTTTACAAAAAAATAGGAAAAAAGATGAAGCATCCAACATTTGGGTTACTTCAAGACGAACCCCTTTTGACGCAGTGAATCTGCCTAGGCACCACGTCCCAAGTCCCGACGACAAGTTGCTCCTGGCCATGAGGTTCTACGCCTGCGGAAACTTGGCTGCCGTGGACTTCCGCATATCCTCTACATGTCGGGCGGTGGAGGAAGTTTCGCTTCACATTGCGGCCCTGTCCAGAGAATACATCAAGATCGGAGGGCACGATGAAGTCGTAGAGCAATTCCAAAGGATCTCCAAGTTTCCAAATGTGATGGGGGTTGTCGGCTGCACACACATTCGGCTCAAGCCACCGAGGCAGAGCCAAGACGATGCCTATGGCAACCGCGAGGAATTCGTGTCAATGAACATCCAGGCTGTCTCGAATGCGCATTTTATAATCCAAGATATCGTTGCACGGTGGCCTGGTTCAACCCAAAAGATCACTATCTTTGACAACAGTCGATTAACATCCCGGTGGGAAGGCGGCGAATTTGAAGACAACTCGGCATACAATGCCATCTCCAAATGTTTTGAGGTCTGGAGGTAGAGGTGTCCCGTCCTATTCCTTGGAATGCGCATCCCTATTGATACGGCGAATTGTAATCGTTGCATGTGCGGTCCTTCACAACATAGCAATCCAGGAAAAGGACCTATTACCTCACGCTCCTGTGGATATGGACATTCCTTTCGAATTTTTTGACGATGGCGATGTCCAAGCTCAAACCACCGATGAAACTCATAGAAACAACATAATTAGTAAATACTTTGAGAGCTTATGTACATTTTGAGAATTTTGACACTATTAATCTAGACCAACACTGTGATAATTACAGCTCATGAATCCTTTGGAGAGTCCTGCAACTAATAAAAACGTTAAACAGTTATTTGACTTACATTAAGCGTTAGCGTACATTAAGTTTCATTTTCTTTTCAGCGATTTCCAAGTAGAGGAGCTCCTGTTTCGCACTTAGAGTTTCCATTTCCTTCAAATGCTTTTCCTGTGCTCTGATGTTTTCCTGTTCATAAAAATGTCGCTGTGCTCTGACCAGGCGTAGCTTCTCTTCATGAAAAAGTCTGCCGGCATGACGCCTTAACCTTCCAGTTGGGCCTCTGGGCGTTGCAGTTAATTCCGCCTTCAAGTGGAGGGGATTACTATAAGTGGAAGCCTCGTTTTCATTGGAGTTTTCCCCCGTGAACTCGATGATGTCCCCAATTGATTCCGCCTTCCAGTCATCTATTATAACTGGAAACTAATTAAGTTTAGCTAGGCTAAGGACAGTCAGGATCCTTACTTACAGTCACTGTCTGAGTTTTCGCCACCCGTATCATCGTCCCCCAGGATCTCCCTCAGCTTTTCGGAAATCGATGGAGTTTTTGGTGGGTGTCCGTACGGAAGCCCGGCTCCCAGCTTCTTCTTCAAGCTCTCATATTTGGCCCTCAAGCTATGTCCACTGCGCTTAACTCCCGATCTGCTGGAGTAGGCGACTGCCAGGTCATCCCACGCCCGTTCCTTCTCCTTCCAGGTCACCGCATCACATTTCTTATTTTCGAAGATCTTGCGGTGCTCCGCCGCCATAGTGATGAGCAGAAATTCCTCCTCCGTGGAAAAATTTTGACCTCGCTTAAATTTGTTTCTTTGGCTGTTCATTTTCACGATTGTAGATTCAGTAATGGTTTCGTGTGCGCTGGTGTCTATCTGAATTCAAATACGCTTTTAAGCCCGAGATGGCCAAAAATACTTTTTGTCTGCAGATTAGATATCCATAGAAGCAGGGGTTGCGCGATCGCTTACACTTTGGTTTTTGGTAAAACAACAAGAGGCCTTCCTAACTACAAGCTGTACCTTACATTTATTATACCTGCCAGTTAAATTAAAACAGATGTTACGAAGTTGCCAATCCAAAATTAGGGGTATTCCCGCCAGCTAGCTATTTCATAGCTATAAATGTTTAATTATCGGTAACCAAATTAAATTGGTTCCACGTTTCCGTCACCTTAAGTGGTCGGTAAAATTACTAGGTTGGTTTATAAGAAATTTGACGCTAGTACCTTTTTTAAATTATGTATATCTTTCGAATACTTAAAACTCTTAAAATGAATTTCTTATATTTTAAATATTTATAATATTAATTTTTTATTTGAAGATAAAACAAAGGGTCTGTCGAATTACTTTTGAACCTTTTGTCAAATTCTTGAAAATTATCGTTTTTTTAATAGTTATATTATTACTTTTGTTATCTGAAGGTTAAATCAAAGGATCAATTAAATTATATATAATAATAATTGACACTTACAAGACCCAAAAGATTTAATACCACGGAATATCAATTTTTAAGCGTTTTGCCTTAATACGTATAGCTAACAAGTATTCTTATGGGGTCTATGTTAAACACCACGTTATCGGTGCTCTTCGTTACTACGTGGACTACAGTCTAAATGATACTCTATCATGCATTAGGAACAAACACGGGAATCCGCATGGGGCATGAAACTTTGAAATCCATTTTGGCTTTTTTTTTGTGCAACATATATTTTAATAATAAATTATTGAATAAATCTACGTTTGTATATTTACATATTTTGAGGTCAGTGAAATTCAAATTGGTAGCCGCGGTCCACAAAGCTTAGACCCCGTTCAGAGTCGACAGGAAAGTCGGCGGTGAAAACAATATATCCTCGATATTCCAAAGAGCTTTTAAGGTTCTGAAATGACTTAATTGATTAGACATAAATAGAGCGATATTAAGAGGTAAATAGTAACCGCTCGATCCACATAGTCCTCAAAGCCACTAAGGTCGTAGTAGAGCTTCAGAGGTGGCGACCGTCTAACTCCTGGCTTCTGTTTGTACGGCTCCCGCCGCTTAAGAATACTCAAGGCGCGTGGTAAAAATGTTGGCGTCAGATTTCGGCAGTAGGACACGTCGAGATGTTCCAATCTTGGACAGAGTTCCACGAATTCTAAGAGAATTTCGTCGCTCAGGTCATTCCAGTTGCGCAGGCAGAGCAGCTGCAGGTCTGTCATACAGGTGTAGCGCTTTAGGTAGTCTGCCGAATGCGTCCAGCTGCAAATGGCCAGGCGCTTCAGGCTGCGATGCGTCCAGATGGGCAGCTTCTCATCCCAACCCGGTTCCAGTGGCATATAGTACCCGTCAACGGCAAAGCCCACTATATCCCTGGCCTTGAAATCCATGATCTCGTAGAACTCGCTGACCTCGCGGATCTTGTGGTCATAGCTGTCCGGACTGACCAGCGGGGGGATATGCCACTCGTTGTCCAGAAGAACCACCAGTTTCTTGAGGGAGGGTAGCTCCAGAACCGCGGGTAGAATTGGTTTCAAGGTGGCCAGATTGAGCTTAAGATCAGTGAGGTTCTTTAAGCTCCGTAGGCAGTTTCCCAGCTGAAGTTTACTGATCATATCATACGTCCTAATGTCCAGGACTCTAAGATCATGCAGCTTGCTGTAAGGCAAGCGCAAAATGAGTTGCGAAAAATTAGGCAGCTGACGATTACTACTTACCGGCACACCTCGTCCAGGTACTTCTGCTGCAGCTCAAACGCCTTGTGTTGGTCTTCGTAGAGGTGGAGCTCCTGCAGGTGCTGGAAATTGGACAGGTACCGCCCGTCGATGGGCGTGGTGAGGCGCAACTTTCGCAAGCCAGGCAACAGCTGGGCCAGCTTGCGGATGCTCCGGTTCGTGGGATAGCAATCGACGTCGTCCGAGTCGTAGTAGAAGCTGGTCACCAAGGGCAGCTCCACAATGTGCATTTCATCTAGATCCTTCAGTATAGAGCACAGGCAGCTGCTCCCGCTTATCTCTCTGATGTACGGACGCATCTGGCTTAGGAAGTACACCAGGTCTTCATGGTTGGGCAACAGTACCCGCCATTTCTCCAGATCCAGTTGCTCGTATACACGGCTGGTTCGCCACTTGGCCAGACAAATGGACTGCAGTCGCTGGCAAGCCCTTGCAAAGGACACTTCCGACGGTAAGTCCTGCAAGCGTTCGAAAATCTCGGCCAGACAGTCGTCGTTCAGCTGCAGAATCTGGGATACCGGCTCGTCAGCCATGGTCCCGAGACGCGATTCTCGCTGCCGAATCTGGATTCAAGGACTGGTGAAATAGCCGGAGCGAGGAATAGTTTGCTGCCTGCGGTCGGTTTTCTGGATTGTTCCAAGCAGGTCAACTCAATTGAATAACAAACAAAAATAAATTTCTGTGCTCCCCCAGTGTGACCATCTCTTGATCCCCTAAATATCTTGCACAAAGAACGTACAACTTCGTTTTATTCATTTTATTTTCGTCCGGCTTGGGAATAGGAATTAATACAGCACATTTCCAATAATCTTAAAATTTATATACATAAGAATGTAAAAAGCAACAAATAATTTTGGTAATTCTAGTTCTGTCTAACGCAGCGTTGCGTTATTTCCCAATTCAACATTTTCATTTATCTATGTCGGCACGGTATTAATAAATGTTTACATTTATTTACTCTCATTTTTGAGTTTTCTTTGAAAAAAATACCCATTGTATTGACAGTGTTGAGGAACGCTCGAAGGCAATAGAGGTGTGGCCAGACCGATAGCTGCCGGCGAGTGTTGCCATACCACTGATAACTAAAAAACACGTGTGTGTGCGCATTCTTTTTTGTGTGACAAGCGTGCGGCTAGAAATTAATTGCGGACGAAAAATATTGACGAATAGTTCAATCATGACAGACCTGCTAAAGTTAGCCGATGCAATCGTCCTAGAGTACTTGCAGTCCAAGGACAAGAACCTGGCCAAGGTTTTCCAGCAGAAGACGAAGGCGGTGAGTCTCAGTGCAAAGCGGCAAGTGCAATGTGTGCGGCTTAGATGCACCCAAAACATGTGCCATCTGCTTCCGCCTGGCACTGTTTAGAAACCAAGTCCCTGTGCTGTTCAAAGATGTCTCATTGAGCAGTCCAGCTGCCCCTTGCAGCAGCCTTCATTACCACGTGCTTCGTCCAGCTAACCAACAACAAATGCCTTTTTCCAAATTCCAGGCCAGCGTCGCCAAAAGCAGCCCAAAGTTGAGTGAAATCCTTCAGTTCTACCAGACCAAGAGCTCCACCAAGATCCCAGCAATCAAGGCAGCGGCCGGTGACTCCAGCGATGATAGCGACTCAGACTCAGAAGCCGAATCGGCGCCTAAGAAGCCAGCGGCTCCACTAACAAACGGCAAGGCCACAAAGAAAGCAGCCTCTTCCAGCAGCGAGGACAGTGATTCCGAAGAGGAGAAAAAACCAGCAGCAAAGTCCACGACGGCCAAGGCTGCTCCTGTTAAGAAGGCAGAATCCTCCAGCGAGGACAGTTCCTCGGAGGAAGAGGCGTCCAAGAAGACTGCTCCAGTGAAGCCATCTCCGACCAAGGCGACTCCCGCCAAGAAGGTCGAGTCCAGCAGCGAGGATAGCAGTTCCGAGGAAGAACAGGCAAAGCCCGCCGTCAAGGCCACACCGGCTAAAACTGCTCCCGCCAAAAAGCCTGCCTCCAGCAGCGAAGACAGCAGCTCCGAGGAGGAAGCAAAGCCAGCTGCTAAGCCAGCTGCCAAGGCTACACCGGCCAAGAAAGCAGCATCGTCCAGCGAAGATAGCGACTCCGATGAAGAGCCAGCCGCTAAGAAGCCAGCAGTCCAGCCTGCCGCGAAGCCAGCTGCTTCTAGCAGCGAAGACAGCAGCTCAGAGGAGGAGGCCAAGCCCGCAGCTAAATCTGCCAAGGCGGCTCCTGCTAAGAAGGCGGCTTCCTCTAGTGATGATAGTTCCTCTGAAGACGAGGCACCTAAAAAGCCAGCAACTGTAGCAAAGCCCACTCCGACTAAGGCTGCTCCCACCAAAAAGGCTGACAGCTCCAGTGACGATAGTTCTTCAGAAGACGAGGCTCCCAAGAAAGCAGCTCCAGGAAAGGCTACGCCAGCTAAGGCAGCTCCTGGAAAGAAGGCAGCTTCCTCCAGCGATGACAGTTCCTCGGAAGACGAGGCGCCAAAGAAGGCTGCTGCGCCACCAAAGGTGACACCGGCCAAAAAGGCCAAGTCTTCCAGCGAAGACAGCGACTCTGATGAGAAGGAAGCTCCCAAGAAACCTGCTGCGAAGACAGTTGCAAAGGCTGCTCCTTCCAAGAAAGCAGATTCCGAGGACTCTTCGGACGATAGCGATAGCTCAGAAGATGAAAAGCCAGCAAAGGCTGCTGCTCCCAAGGCTCCGGCCAAGCCCGCAAAGGCTGCCTCCTCCAGCAGTGAGGATTCCAGCGACGATGAGACGCCGGCAGTGAAGCCAGCTGTCAAGAAGACTGCTGTTCCTGCTAAGAAGGGTGACAGCAGCAGCGACGACAGTGACTCTGGCGAAGAATCCGGCGAGGTCAAGCCCAACTCGGTGACCAATGGCAATGCGAAGCCCGCTCAGAAGCGCAAGTTTAGTGGTGGCGACCAGGACGAGGCCACTCCCAACAAGAAGTACAACAACTTCGTTAAATCGGGAGAGCAACAGGTAAGCCGGTGTACCTTATTACATCTAGAAATATCCGCAGTCCGCTACAGACTTTATTCGTTCAGACTCAAAATCTGAATGTTGACTTTACAAATTCCCAGAGTTAAAAACTTGACCAATGACCAATGGCTTAAAAGTAATTTTTAAAAGCATTAATGATTACTGTTCCCTGTGTCCTTTTGGAATACTGTATCCGAATTTCAAAAAGCGAATAATGTTTATATATTGTCCGAATCCTGTGCAGACAGTTTCACATAACTTCATTGCCATTCGCAGAAGAACGATTTCACGTCCACGCCTAACAACTCCTTCAGCCGAAACAATAATATGAACAATAGCGGAGGGGGAAGTGGGCGACGGTCACCCTTCCGGAGGGTACGCACCGAGGATGTGCTGGTGGACTCCCG